GGGATAACCTTATCCCCGTTAGCGGGAACGGGGATGGAGATAACCTTATCCCCGTTAGCAGGGACGGGGATGGGGAGAGACTCGCCCCATTGCCATTCCTTTTGCCTTCTAGAGAAGATTTTCAATATGGGCCTTTCTAATTCTTATTTTTCCTTTTTTTTTTTTTTGACTTCATGAAACTACACAACACGGGGTAGCCTGTGTAGAATTTGATACTTACCCTTATTTTTTTTCCTTATTCTCCCCTACCCATAACCCCCCAACCTTCAGCCACATAGGCACCATCAGCCTCTATAATTCACTTGACTTAACATATTAGGAATGAAGATGAAAGGGATTGGTTCATTTCTTGAAAGGAGATTTTGGGACATTAGGATCCTTTGTAAAAATATATAAATAATGGCTGCAGAGTTGGGATTAAAATGTAAAAATAATGTTGCTTGTTCTTCCATAACTCATAGAAAGTAGACTTTCACAAGTTTATAAACAGGGAATTTGAAGAACATCATAACGTTTTCACTGCAACATCAACAAATAAACTCGAATGAGATGAATTCAACAGTGAAAGAAAAGGGTATAAACATTTTTCATTTTATGGCAGTGGTACATGATTGTCCTTGGAGCACACACAGGGAAAATCACTTGTAAATGTGATTTTTATGTGGAACAAGGAATTAAACCTATTGTAATTGACGATTTTTTGTGAAATTTCAATCAAGCAACTTTGCCGGTTGTCTATTTAAAAATTACAGAAAGAAAGAAAGAAAGAAAAGAAAAAATAACAAGAAAAAGGAAAAGGAAAGTTGTTTTCAAGTGTGGGTATTATGAGTCCATTTGGGAGGACTTTTGTGATGATTGATCTGCGTTGACGAGCCACTTTTAAGAAGCTCCTTATGATGATTGCTTCACTGGAAAGTTGATTTTTCGACTTGTGTTTCAACTTTCTCTATCTTTATCAAACAGGCTGATGCAATTAGGGTTATCAATGGACTGGTTTTGGGTTGGACCCCATCCAAATCAAAATCAATTTGAACGGATTGAACGGACCAATAAAACATATTGAATTTGGACGTACTAGACAGACTAATATGACATATTGGATTGGAACTGATCCGTCCATAATAACTTTATATTGGATTGAGCCAATATCTGGTCCATTGATAGAAGATAAGAACATAGGTGTCAATGGACCAGGTTTGAGTTGAAACTAACCTAAATTAACAGGAATTTGAACAGATTGGACAGTCTCTGGACCGGTCCAAAATAGTCCAAAATATTCATTGGATTGCATGGGACCATGTCCATTTGTAATGGACTCACATTAGACTGAATCAGATTGGACCAAATCCAGTCTAAATGACACCCCTACATGCAACACCAGAAGACACCTCATGGAAGCCCTCCTGAATGGGTTTCCCATGTTGGTTTTTTGGATTTCTAAAGTCCCCACCCTAATGCTACTGGTCAAAAATCACGGCCAAAGCTTGGGTTTTTCATTGAATCTTCTTTTAGCAGCTTCTCCAAAGTAACTCAACCAAAGCTTCAGCCCTCCCAAACATGGATATAATTTGCATGGTGTTTGAAAGCGTGGGCGCTTTTTGGGACCAATTTTCAAGAAAAATGCCTATGCTTCCAAGACCTGTTTTTCACAAAAAAAAAAAAAAAAGATGCTTCTGCCACGTAGGCAATGAACACTATGCTGTTTGGTAAGGTGATTTTCATCACCGTTTTTCATGTATGTACTGACAGATAAACACCACATAGGATATACATTAGTCAACCGTTGGGGAAAATGGTTCATCAATGCATCGGTGGGGTCCCGATTTTTGAGGCATGTCTGACTTTTTAATAATCGGTTGAACCAAACAATGAGATACATGAGAATTTGTTGAAATGCCTATGTGAATCTGACATGACACCGTTATTTTTTTAAATGGCCACGGTTCCAAACATCCCCTTGGTTTGAAAGCCAAATATTTGAAATATTTCAAAACCAATCACTATTTTTTTATAGGAAAATGGGCTTTGGCACGCCATATAAATACATTGCTAAATATTTCATTCTAATTCCACCCATTAATTCACATGAGAAGAGAGAGAGAGAGACTATTCATCCTTGGCTAGACCTAATTGCCGAAGGTGATGATGAATATCAGATGGATGGTCCTCATGCTTTGGCCTTTCTGGCTGCACCCACCGTCCTTCCTGATTCCTCACCATTCCTTTGTTCTCATCTTGCCTCCAGTAAGGTGGAACCAGGTAGTGATCCTTCAAGAAGTCAGAGGCTTTGTTCACTAACGCAGGGTCCCTTCCACTTGAAAGCACAAATCTTTGGCCCTTCCCATGGTACCTGTACGTACGTGTTTCAAAGTTAATTAAGGCCATATATACATGTATGATTGATTGATTGATGAGCTCAAGCAATAAAATGAAAGAAGAAGCTGATCCACTAAATATAATAACTACATCTCTCAAAAGCTGTCTCACTTGGGAATTTTAATTTCAGTAGACAGTAGGTTTGAATTTGTCAATTCTGAGAATTTTTTAGTCCCATTATTTGGCTACCTCTCTAGAGATGTCAATGGATCGGTCTATCCAATAATAGAATTGAACCGGCCAAACCGATTATGTTGGTTCTGGTTCTTTGTTTGTATCCCCGATTAATAAGTGGATCAAGACCAGTTCCTGCTGTTTCAAACGATTTATATATAAGCAATGTAAATGTTTCTTGTAATTTCTGTTATTTTTATGTCTAAGGGGTTAAATTTCATAAAATATAAGATAATTTTGATTAAAGACATTTGTTTATTGAGGTTATATATTATTAAAAATGGAGTCGTAAGTTGTTAATATCAGACCCAATTATAGATATTAAGTATAACTGGGCCTAATCCGATTAAACCCAATTATTTCAATGAACAATTGGTTTGGTTCTAGGTCTATCTTATAAAACTGGTTATTAATCAACTTGACACTAGTAAACCCTTATCTCAAACCAGATCCAGCAGATTGACAGCTCTTAAGTGGTTCAGAAGTCATCTATACTATTATAATGCAAATACTTGCCTTGATTTTGGTGCAGGTTATAAAAGTTAAATTTAATAAGATATTGTTAGCTTAAATTTTTGCTGTGCTTGCGCACACACATGCATAGCATATACTCTCACACTAGTAAAAACTGAAAAGAAGTAAGTATTTTAAGCTTAGCGAATTCCTCCAAATTAAGCGCCAGTCATTTCTTTTCTATGTAAGTGAAATGAAAATAAAAATTCATATATATTCCACTCTTATATGGCAAATGCAAGAGTTGTGAAGGCAAATGTTTCATAAGGAAAAATCTATGATGCAGAAAGTCATGGTATCAAAAGAGTTTTGACCAATCAAAACCCATTTATGAATTTTGATAAATAACACTTGATTGGCTATCACGTTTATGATACCAATTGATTGATAAAAAAGATTTCAGATAACATATCTTTTCGATATCATAGTCGGACCCATTTCATAATCATGCCATCTACTAGACAACTCATGAATCTTCATCACAATCACATGAATATTGAATCACATGTTTTTAGGAGATGAGATTTCGTCAAAGCAAAAACGATGCAAATAACATGATGGCATATCATCTAGAAATACATTGAAAATATATCCCCATAAATTCAACATAATATGCAGCTAAATGTTGTGTTCATAGAATGTTTGCATGATTTTTGTGCTTTCCCATTGGAGGCTCTATTTTTGGTATTCTTCAATGTGTAACATGCAAATTGACAATGAAAAAGGAAAAGAAGAATGAAATGTTTTTTGTTATATTATTGTAGAAAATAAATATTATAAAATAATTATCAAAAAAGTAACCATTATAAAAAATCATTTTTATTTTCACATGTCAAGGTTGAAAGTCATCACCAACCATTTCGAGTGCATTGAAAAGGATTGTTTAATAATTTCAATTTGAGAAAAAGTTGCTTTTGCAAAATAAATAACTTCTTTGTGTGATGATGAAAATATATTCAATTTTAAGAAACTACTGTACCAAAAAATTTAAGAAAATAATGTTTTTTCAAATTAATTATGGGGCCCAATTTTCTTAAAATCATAATAAATAAAATAATTACATCCCTAAAGATCCCATTAAATTGATAATTTTAAAATCAAATAGAAAATTATATATATATATATATATATAATATATATAGGCTGCAATCGGCATTACTTATTTTAAGGAATTATCCCTTTTTTGCAATTAAAAACTCAGTGTTTTATAGGGGTATTTTAACCACAAAAAGGAGATAAGTCCTTAAAATAAATAATGTCAAATGCAGCCTTAGTGTAAGATCGAGCACATGTTATACATGTATCAAAGCAAGTATTAACCATAAATGATATATGGTATTTGGATTTAACTTGTATAACGTACACGTAACCAATATAAGTATCTAATTTTTTATTTTTATAAAACTTTCCTAATTTACCAATTAAGCAACAAGCCAGCAATCAAATTTGATTTGGATTTAACACCATTAATAAATTAAACTGAAAATATAATAAAATAAACAAACAATCAAAAACTAGAATATCAATATACCTGATATTCAAGTTGAGTATCAGTCTGTCAATTAAAACTCATAATTCCAAAGTTTTAAATTTTATAAAATGATTTTATATCAGTCGCTCTATTGAATGCATCGATAGGGATTCGATACACCCGATACTTAATCTTGCAAGCATCATAGGTTTTCCCTATTTTAATACTTGCACTAACCAACTGGCATCATACAAAAGTGGTAAGTGGTAACCAACCAATTGGGTTAAAATTCACCGAGGATTGATCTGTCGAAGTCTTTCCGGAATGTGATGAATAGATAATTAGATTTATGGATCTGATCGAATCAAATTATGGTGGATCAATGTTTGACCCAATTATCAACAGATCGGATGTTGATATTCTAATCAGATGCCATTTGCATTTCTGTTTTTTAATGAGCCATGAGTAAAAAACTTTAATAATTAAAAAATAAAAAATAACAACAATAGCTGGTCTGGTCTGTGTCTGTCTAGTGACTTCTATGCCTAACACCCACGAGTTCACATCTCCGCCTCACAACGCCCCACGGGGATGTGCTGTGTGTCATTATGGGGCGGAAAGTTGTGGGGCGGAGATGTGGTCTCAACACCCACCACGCGACTGTCTTGTATGGGTTGACCGTTTTCCTTCTGTTCCTCCATCCAACGGTCAGGAGCAACTTGTTCCATCTTAAGTTGATATTCCCAGTCCCAGCCGTTGGATGTTACACACCTTGCAGTTCTGGGTCCCACGATTACGCAGAGGAACCATGGGCCCTTGACGATGATGTTCTGATGTCAAGTCAGCAGCATCTTGATTATTGCATTTTACTGTTTCAGGCTCTTAGCTGTTATTGTTGCCTTTGCCTCTTTGTGTATTGGGTTCCTTCTCTCCATTTTAGCATTTCCTAATTCCTATCAGGAATCAGGATTCATGAGTTGGAGAATAAATGGAAAATGCCTGAAATAACCTCGAAGAAAAGGAGAAAAGATAAGACTAACCCGTCGAGCAAATGCAGCAGAGCCTCCAGGTTGTGGAAGCAGGAGGGATCGCCAGTGCCGTTGAGGAAGGGAGAGTGCTTGTGGTCCAGCGTGAGCTCTACTCCGACGTGCGAGTAACACCACGGCAACCACTGCGCCAACCGGTGCACCAACTCCGGCACATGCTCGTTGAACAGTATTCCCGGAACCTTGGGCACCGTGTCGTGAACGTTCACCACCCTCAGCACCTTCACCCCCAACCTCTCCACCCGCTCCTTGAATCTCACGTTCCCGACCCTCGGTCCCGAGAACGAGAAAACCGTTACCGGAACTGCCCGGCCGTCCCCCGTCACGTTCACGCCCGTCTCTGCTATGTCATAAGCGCTCAGCATCGCCAGCGCGCTACCCAGGCTGTGGCCGGTCATGGTTATGCTCAGCTCCTCGTCTGGGTACTGCTGCGTCAGCCTCTTGACTTCGCTTAGGATCTGCTCCCGGGCCGAGTACTTGCAGAACCGACACGTTTCGTCCTTGTCCGTGTAGACGTCCAGGAACCCCGACTCGACCTTGACGGACGGATCGGGGCACGGGATCTTGTCGGAGGAAACCGGCCGGAGGAAGTCCATCAGGTCGGCGATCCACTCGAGCCGTGTCACGGTGCCCCTCCAGGCGATGGTTATGTCACGGCGGCCGAGGCTCGCCGAGGTCTCGTCGTTAGAAACAGCGACGTAGCCGATCCAGTTGGCGTTCCGACTCCAGACCTTGGGCCACCGAGACTTCTTGAAGAAGTTGGGGAGGTTGATGTTGGTGGTGGCGTAGAGGTAGCGAGAAACGTCGTAGCCGAAGTTGGCCATCCCCAGACAGTCGAAGAATTTGCGACGCATGAATCGGCAGCTGCCACAGTACCTGGAGGAAGGGTCATAGTCGAAGGCGTCGTAGCAAGCTTGTGCCATCTCCCCGTAGCGAATGAGCTCGGAGCGCAAGAGGGGATCGATTGGGTCGAGCATACCAGTCCAGTCGCCTTGGCCATGGATCTCACGCCAGAAGTCTGCTATGCGTCTCTTGGGTCGCGTCGCTGTTGTAACCTCCTCTTCCTCCACTTGTTCTTCTTCTTGCAACCTCTCTCTTTGAAGCTCGGTGATGATCGACGACATGGAGTAGTCATCGTTTGTCGTCCTAGACAAGACCCCAGCAATCACCGCCGCCGGCCTCCTGGTAGCGAAAAGCTCTCTGGAGGAATCAAAGCCTAAAAATGGCGAGTTCTGGGCGGAAACCGCTGCCAGCAGATTGGGCTTTCTGGACTGCAACGCGTCGAGCGAGCTGTACCTGTAGTGTCGTCCCTCCTTAAAGGTGAAAAGCAGGTCAGAAGGAGGGATGGGAATGGCCATGGTCATGGAGGGTGGAAGAGTACTATTCTACTGGGTAGAGCTGAAGATGAAGATGGTGATAATGATCATCAATGAATGTTAATTAAGTCTAGAGTCTCTAGACTGGTTGGTGAAATCGATTGATGATGCGTTTATATATATAGGAGGGAAGATATGATATAATTTGAGAAGGAGAAGTACATGATGGGGTGGGTCGTCTCTAGAATTTACGAGTGACGAGGCCAGTCTAGACCAAAGTTGACTGGATGATATGGATGGATGGGATTGGTTTTGGTGCGGACGACGTGCCGTCTACCTTGACGAGAATGATTGATGAAGTCAGATGAATACTTGACAGAAGCTGTCCGTCCTTTGTATTTAACAACAGAACAGAGTCTATAGACCTTGTTGAAGTGAAGTGGTTGAAGGACGAAAAAACGTGGTAAAAGACATCAGAGACCGGACCGGATCTGCTCCTCACACGCACATCCTACCATGTATTAGGAATATCTCTCGTAAAATTATAATAATACAAAAAAATTTGTAGAGTAGGATAAAAAGGAAGGTACTAATATAATACAACTGATTCCATACTGTTTACCTCTAATTTTGCTATTCGGTGTGAGCAGGAATATAATACTGTACCGTAACTTAATCGTTCCAAAAGAAAACAGTAAATTTTTGGTCTCAATAGTCTCTCAATTGAGAGGCTCATAAGAGACGAATGTATAGAGGAATGATGTTGAAGTGCTTGTATAACTGATTGGGAGTCAGAACAGATCAAAAGATGTGATTTTCCAAGAGTTTGCGCGATTAAAGTTCCTTTATAGATAGCAAAAAGTTGTGCAATTTGTAGAGTATGAAAATTGGTTGATTCTTCCCGCATGGGTAAAGATGACACAATCAGTATTTTCCTTAATTTGCAAGCATATCTGAACAGGAGGTTCAGGTGTTACGTTTAATTGAGAAGAAAAAATATTCTAAAAAATGCTATTGGTTTTCCTAATGACCCAATGATTTGAAATACTATTGTTTTTGAAAATTTTTTCATTGCGAGCAGGAGTTCGAACATTGACATTCTAGAAATAAATGATGAACAGTCTCAACATCCATTTGGCAGAAAATATAGGATCCATCTTGTTGAGCAGAGAATCTTCTCTTTGACTGGAATGGAATTGTTGATAATTCTCCAGAACAGAATTGTGTATTTTCACTATAAATTTTCAATAATTGTTGGAGATTAAACTATTGCTATTTATTAGAGATGAGACTATTAATTTATAGCTGAAATCATGAGTGTCCATGAATTGGTCCCGTTCGGTTATAGGCTATTTGGCCAACCAAATCGACCTGGTCAAGTTGGGGAGTTGGTCGACTGAAATCGACTGACCTTTTGTGAAAACCGACCCACTCAAGTTGTATCTGTTTGGGTCGATTTTTTGGTTTGGACAATTGGTTCAAAAGATTTAAAAGTTAATTTAATTTTAAAAATTATAGTGCAACTATTAAAAAATTAGATTTATGATATAAAACATTTTAGATTAAGAAATATGGGAAATTTTCCAATTTTCTATATTAAAAATTATATCTAAAATATAAATATTAATATATAACCATGGTTAGGTCGTTTTATTTTGGTTGGTTTACAAATGGTCAAAGTGAAACTGATCAAACTTGGTTGAATTGGGAAATTTTTTAACCAAAGCTGACCTAAAATACTAGAAAACCGACCAACTCAAGTCGAGTTGATCGGTTTCATCAGTTTAATGAATAAACCTAATTGAAATTAATTATTGTTATTTTTTGTATTATAAAAAATTTATTAAAAGTAGTATATAAAATATGAATAATTATTAATTATTTAAAAAGTTGAAAATATAAAGCAATTGTATGCTCTTATGTGTTTCTATTAGGCTACATTTGGATGCGATGTAAATCAAGAACTGATGTAAACCTCCAGTTTGGTTTTATATACATTTGGAAAGAGGGTGTGATTATTATTGACGTAAAACTACACTCCATTTCAGTTTTGCATGTATTTGGATGGAGTGTAGTTTTACGTCGATAATAGATGTAAACCTCATCACCTCTAAAGTTTTACACCAATAATCGATACATTGATTTTATCGATGTAAAACTTTACACTCTTCCACCCATCACTATTTAAAAAAAAAAACAATGGTCACTTTCTGGTTCAGTGTAAAATGATGACGTTTTACACTGATTCCAAACACAACCTTAGGGTCATTTACTAGAACACACCTTATAGTTTTACATATTTACTTAAACCTACATTATAATTTTCATTTTACTAAAACATCCCATATATTTTACAACTTATTTACTTAATCAACATTTCATTAAGGATTGTTTGTTTTGCCATTAGGCCCATATTTTTTATTTCAAAAATACCCTTAACACTTTTTTTTGTATAAAAAACAAAATTGACCAAATATAACCAATAGAGTGGTTGCCTATGTCTTATTAAGGGAAAAATGATATTTTTATTTTTATTTTCTTTTTGATTAAATTTATTTAAATGAACATTATGGTCGACACTGTCATTTTCCACTATCATCTAATGAAAGATTAATTAAATCCATTGCAAATTATAAGTGGTGTTTTAGTAAAATGCTAACTATAGGGTAGATTTTAGTAAATCCATGAAACTATATGGGGTATTTTAGTAAATGACAATTTCTATTATTTAGCTTTCACTTAATAAATCATGTGCACTGCATGGGTCCCCGCTAGTATTATATATAATATAAAATAGTTCTAGCGAGGTTTCAAAAAAATTAAAAAACAAATTAATAAGTATACAAGTAAGAATGACCGGGGCGGGGCAGGGAAAAGTCAAGGATCTCCATTCCCCGTGGAGATGGGGATGGGGTTAGGATTTTTAGCCCCATCAGCGTTCAAGGCAGGGAATTTGAATTTGAGGTCGGGTACGAGGCAGGCAAAACCCAGTCCCACCCCGCCCCATTGTCATTCGTATTTATGAGAGTCGTGTTGTTACAACCAACCGAAATTTGATTTTGAACATTCTCCAATCTAGTTAAAATATTTTGTTTCCTCTTGAAAATATCCCTAAACTGGGTTTTATGCCATTCTCTAATCTTTTGAACTAGTAAATTTGTCTTCTTGATGAACAAAATCACCCTACAGCCACTGCTATCAACACTCCAAACTTGACTAATGATCTCATTTACACTTAATTCAAAGCAACACATTGCCTCAAACCTAAAAGGTTTGGGACCCCCAATAGTGGTGAAGTCTGTATAAAGAATTAATGGGGAATGATTAGAAGAGAGGAAGGGTAGATTATGTGAACTAGCATTAGGAAGCATACCCATCCACTCTTCATTAACTAGATCCAACATCTCCCAAGTAGTCTTGTTTTTCCATGTGAATTGTAGGCCATTCATTTCTATTTCAATGAGATTGCAATTTAAAATAAGGTAGGTTATTAAAATCACAAGTTTGGCTTGGTTTAACTTCTATTCACCCATTTTTATTTTCTACGCATCTATAAGAGTTAAAATCTCTCATTACGCACCATGCACCACTTGTATTTTCAGCAATGTCACCAATCGAAGGCCAAACAAGGCGTTGTTAGATCTTGTTGGGAGGCACATAAACAAAAGTACAAAACCATGAATTTTTTGAAGAAATTCCATAAATGCAAACATAAACCATTCTATCATTAGACAAAATAACTTGGAGGTTACTAACATTTTTGTCCCATAAAATCTAAAACCCTCCTGAGAATCCAACAAATTAACAATCATAAAATCATCAAAAGTAAAAGACTTAACAATTTTCTTAGATTGGTCAGGGTTGACGAAAGTTTCCATAAGAAAGCATACGATAGGTTTATGACTTTTAATGGGATCCAAATTATGCTTATGGAGACAGGGTCTCCCCTGATACATCTTCACTTATAGCATTAAATGTTATTTAGAATTTTATTTAGCAATGATACCTCATTGTTTCTTGCTGAAGTTCACTCATTGCTAGTGATACATCTGGTGGACCCATCTTGGGCACCCATTTCATTTTATTTAGAATTTTCCCTATAGGTTCAATGATTGCATGGCATGCATTGATGAGTATAGCCCATGTGGATTACTTCTTGAACTCTCGAGCTCAGTTTATTCTTTGAAACTTTTCTTTGGCCCAATCATTTTTCTTGTTCATCCACATCCTATCCTTAACTCAGTTATTAATCATCAAACCATTGTTTCTATGATATGTTTAAAGTTGTTTTGGCTTCTCCGTCTGTTAACAATTCTCCACCCATCTTCGAAATTATCTGTCATTGCTTGGAGATTCATAAGCTTTGTGCCTTCTCCATCCACAATTAGTGCATAAATTGAAGATATTCTCATAAAACTTTGATATTATGCTCTTAACCCTCCCCTCAACTTGAAGTATAAGAAGACATGATGATAGATCATTAAACTTATCAACACTAAGAGCTTTCATTAGGAGATCTGCAGGTTGAGAAGCACTTAGAAGACGAAAAGTCTCAATCTCTAGTCAAGGTATGCGTTTGCAAACGAAATGACATTTGGTGTCAATGTGTAGGGGTGGATTCGAACCGAGATAAACCAAATAGTACGAGGCTCGAACTCGGATTGCTAAGGTAGTACAAGGCTCGAGCTCGAGCTTGAGCTCGATTCGAGTCAAAAACTCGTAAGCTTGAGCTTGGTTCGGCTTGAGCTCGATTTGAGAAAAATATTTTATAAAAATAAAAAGTTACATATATAAATATTTGTTAATGGATATTTAAAAAATTAAGAACTATAATATCTTTATTATATATATATATATATATATTATTTTATTATTTTCTATACTTTTATTATATATATATATACATATCCGAGCTCGACTCGTGTGAAAAATAGGATTAGCAATGATATGTAATGCAATCTTATTTTACAAAGCAACTACATTAAACATGTGAGATGAATATAAGGGTCATCAAACTATTGTTTCTATGATGATGTTTAATGTTGTTTTGGCTTCTCCGTCTGTTAACAATTCTCCACCCATCTTCGAAATTATCTGTTTGGAGATTCATAAGCTTTGTGCCTTCTCCATCCACAATTAGTTCATAAATTGAAGATATTCTCATAAAACACTTTGATATTATGCTCTTAACCCTCCCCTCAAGTTGAAGTATAAGAAGACATGATGATAGATCACTAAACTTGTCAACACTAAGAGCTTTCATTAGGAGATCTGCAGGTTGAGAAGCACTTAGAAGACGAAAAGTCTCAATCTCTAGTCAAGGTATGCGTTTGCAAACAAAATGACATTCGGTGTCAATGTGTAGGGGTGGATTCGAATCGAGACAAACCGAATAGTACGAGGCTTGAGCTCGGATCGCCAAGGTAGTACAAGGCTTGAACTTGATTTGAGTCAAAAACTCGTAAGCTCGAGCTTGATTCGGTTTGAGCTCGATTTGAGAAAAATATTT